CAATGGTGCTCTGGTCCAGGTCAATCCCTTGTCTCCCACTCTAGGACTCAGAACCCTGAGCCATCCTACTGCCTCTAACTTGCGATCAGGGCACCCCTGGCCCTGGCAGTGCCCCCACTACAACCTCCAGTGCCCTGCACCCCATGTGCCAGGCTGTTTCCTCTTGGATATTTACTAGTTTTTCCAGTTTTGCAAGTTAGGCAACCCTCCCTGATGTTGCAAACAACTGTTTGTTTGGCACAAAGCCTGGGACCCTGGCCTGATGATCTCCTGATGGCCACCTACATTGAAAGAAAAGAAGGCAGCAAAGTTTATTTATATAATTAGCCTGTAAAGATTTATTAGGTATAACTTAAATAACCACCAACGAATTGTTACCGAATTTTCAAGTTAAACATTAGTAAGAAGCAGGCAATATGCAATGAGTTTCATTACAAGACCTTTTTTTACAAGCACACAGTAACCATAGGCATTTTTTATGCTTAAATCAACAAACAGGCAAGGACCACTAATTAGCAATGCACAGCTACTATCACTATCACTGCATTGCACATAAGCAACACCGCTTTTCTACATTTGTGAGCTGGACAGCCCTTCTCTCTCCCTTTCTTGTGAATGCCTCCTGCCGCATTGCCCAGCTGACACTCAGCCACAGACTTGACATGACTGTCTTGCTATTTCCTAAAGCCACACCGTACAGGTACTGATGATGCTGACAATCCTATCTGTCTGGGCATCATTCTCAGGCTTCCGATGCCTGCGTTTTTTTGGCAGTGGTGACAGCGGCAGCAAAGGTGGTGGTAGAGATGGGGGTGATGGCATTGTACCTAACAAAGCTGAAAAGCAAGGAAGGAAGGAAGGTTGGGGATTACTGTGTGCTCTGAGAATCAGACAAGTGGATAAGAAGCGTTCTGGAAAACCCACCAAGAAGGGCTTGACTGCCTGCCTGCCTAAGTTGTTGGACTGCAGGCCCTGAACGGCTGCAAACAAGTCATCTGCAGATTCTCCACACTTTGCGTTGTCCTTCATCTTTCTGCATGACAATCCAACCCCCGCAACTGTCAGTTACTTGTCAGTTGAATTAACAACCCCCCCTCCATGTCTCATGTCAGTTAACTACAATCCTTCAGCCTGCCCCCCACACATCACAACCCAGCCTAATCTCAGGTGTCAGTTCAGATGCAAGTTCCCCATGGCTTAACATACCTGTCGTGGAGGATGTCCCCAAGGTCCAGGTCTATTGAACTGCTGCTGCCTTCCTTGCTTGAGGCAGCAGAACTCACAGCTGGACCTGTGGTCGGCAAGCTGATGGGATTGGAGGATGGCCTGTATGCCTCTGGTCTTGTCTTTGCTTGGCGTTCGAGTATCTCCATTAATGGTTGGAGGTACCGATAATGCGGCACGTTACACGTGGGGGTGCCATTCTGATGAGTTCTTGCTACTCCACATTAGAAAGCAGCTGTCACATTCTTGGACATCACCCTGCACTGGACCACCGTCTTATTGTGCCCCCACTTGGCAAGTCTCATGGAAACATCCAGGTAGATGTGCAAGTTCATGGTCAGGCTGTTGCCAATGCCTAACTGGCTTAACACCTCAGGGTCCCCCAGCACATGCACCAGGCTCTTAGTTTCTTCATAGCACCAAGTTGTCCTAGTCTTACACACCCTGGTAGGCTCTTTTCTTCCCCTGGTCTGCTGTATACAAATTTCAGGATGCAAAGCATGGAACAGCTGAAGAGACTGGGGTTAAACATCTAATTTTCATTATTTCTATGAAGGACCACTTAAATGTTTAGAGATACTTTTTCACATAATACAGATTTTCCTATAGCACTATGCAGAACGCATAACTCATGCATAACTTATATTTACTGATGTATAGCTAAAATGTAATTGCAAAGAAAAAGATTTGGAGCAGTTTCAAAAACAGCTGCCTTATTTGTGTAGGTGCAACCAGTGTAATTCAGGTGTTGGAGATACAGGAACTTCCAGAATCCTAATTCAGGCAGGAGATACAGTATACGATGTTCTTGATGTCTGGAAAAAGTTTGTTCCTTAAACCTCCTGTTATAACCTTTTTCTGAATTACAGTATGCAGCACCAACTGCATATTTTGGCATCATCACAGGCCTGACTGAACAAAGCATTTCTCTAAAGATGTCAGTGAAATATTTTAAGGGATGAATATATAATTAGTAAGATGATAAATGGAATGCAATCCCAGTAGACTGCAGAAGAGAACAGCACCACCTAATGGCATATTGTCGTAGTGAATTCTCCATGAACAAACCTGTGTTTCTCAAGCTACACTGTTTCTTGAGATGTTCTTTGTCACTAAATCCGTAGTAGTGACCCCCCGTCCCCCCTACCCCCCTGGTCACTTTGCCATGCACTGGAGCATGTGTGCAGGGGTGTGCCTGGCAACAAATAGCAACAGCACAGATTTGTCCCTTGGGAAATGCACGCCCCTGCATCTGCACTTGTTGGGATATTCCCTCTGTCTTCAAGTAGGCATGGGAGTATCCCACCTGAGCATTCATCCAGCCAAGAACCTAAAGAACCCCAGTGATAATGCAGACACACGCGCACATACATATACACATGTGCATGCACACACTAAGAAAATGTCCCATGTTACAGCACGGATCAAAGTGTTAGAGCTAACAGTCATAGTTTACTACATTAAAAAGCAATTGTGAGCATAGATACTGAGTATACTTTCACAAAAATAAGAGATACCAATTTGTACAGGTAACCTTTTTTATAATGAATGAGGAATTATCTGAATGACAACTAAACCCATACAATGTTTTTAACAAAGCCCAAGAGTCATGAAAACTTAGAAGTACATTCTTTACATAAGACTTGAGAAGGGTTAGTAAGTACTTAATGTAAGTACTGGGATTTGAACAAACCCTACCTCTTTAGGATATTTATTGAAAGGTTCCCCCCAAAACTCACATTATATATTAAATTGAAACCTTTTAATAGAAGAATCTAGGCCTTTAAGTATCAAAAACTCCTTCTTGATGCATTTATAAAGAACCAGTCCTGAACAGGGATCTGCTATTTTGGTCCCCTTAAGCATTACTTGATAAGTTCCAGGACGAAATATTTCCTTAGTAGAAGGATAGCTTGAAGACTGAATTTCAGGATGCAAAGCATGGAACAGCTGAAGAGACTGAAAATGTTTCCAGAAGGGATCAGATTACTCTGGAGGGGCAGAAGAATGATTGGTGGTAATTTTGCCTTGTGGTTAAGGTTCTTGGCTGGTACATGGAAGATCTTAGATTTCAGAGATTTTAGGGTCGGAAGGGACCGATTAGATTGAGTCCAACCCCCTGTCCGAGGCAGCAAAGAGTGCTGGGGTCAGATGACCCTAGACAGGTGTTTGTCCAATCTCCTCTTAAATACCTCCAAGGAAGGGAACAGCACCACCTCCCTTGGAAGGATATTCCATATTTTGGCAACCCTCACTGTAAAGGATTTTTTTCTGATGTCCAGTCTAAATTTGCTCTCCTTCAGTTTGTGGCCATTGTTTCTAGTTACCCTGATGGGCACCCTGGTAAACATCATATCCCCTATTTCCTGATGTCCATTCCCGATGAGTTTGTAGACGGCCACAAGATCACCTCTCAGCCTTCTCTTGCGGAGGCTGAAGAGATTCAGATCCCTCAATCGGTCCTCGTAGGGTTTTCCCTGTAGGCCTTTAACCAGATGGGTGGCCCTCATCTGAACCCTTTCCAAGTTATCTACATCCCTCCTGAAGTGCGGCACCCAAAACTGGACACAGAACTCCAGCAGTGGCCTGACCAATGCCGCATAGAGGGGAAATATCACCTCCCTAGATCTGTTTGCGATGCACCTACTTATGCAAGAAAGAGTGCTGTAAGCCTTACTTATTACTTCATCACATTGGTGACTCATGTTCATTTTGGAGTCACGTTTGACTCCGAGATCCCTTTACGCAGTTGTGCTACTTAGAATGCTACCTCCCAGGCTATAGGAGTGTTGATGATAATTTACGATTCTTCCTCCCTAGGTGCAACGCATGGCATTTATCTTTCTTAAACTGCATCCTATTCTGTTCTGCCCACTTCCCCAGCCTGTCCAAATCCACCTAGATTCACTCCCTGCCCTCTAGTTTGTTTACCTCCCCACATAATTTGGTGTCATCTGCAAACTTGGACAGGGTGCTTTCTACTCCCTCATCCAAGTCACTAATGAAGATGGTGAACAGTACCAGTCCCAGGATAGCGCCTTGGGGGACTCCGCTGCCCACGTTTCTCCAGGTAGAAACCAACCCATTCATCACCACCCTCTGGGTGCATCCTATAAGCCAATTTTCCACTCACCAGACTGTGTAATAATCTACATTGCAACCGTTTAGTTTATTTATAAGAATTGGGTGTGACACTGTGTCAAAGGCCTTTTTAAAATCTAAGTAAATAACATCTACCTCTATTCCTTCATCCAAGCATTTTGTGACCCGGTCATAAAAAGAAACCATGTTAGTCAGGCAAGATCTGCCTGCTATGAACCTATGCTCATTGCCCCTTAGCATTATTTTACCCACTGGTCCCCCACAAATGTGATCCTTAACAATTTTCTCAAAGGTCTTGCCAAGGATAGAGGTTAGAATCTAGTTCAATTCTCATTCAGCCAGATTCTGTGTGTAACCTTTGGGAGAATACTTTTCTTCTCTGCTTCTGCCCCTGCCCCTCCTGTAAGATGGAGATGATATACTCTGCCTCACAGGGGTCTTGTGAGGATAAATCCACTGATGCTTGTGTCAGAATTGCTATGATGGGTATGGTATAGGTAGATATCTAGGTAGATCTCTTTTTCTTGCATGGGGAAGAAAACCATCCTGCATAGCTAATATATCAATACCTTCAAATATAGCATAGCAAGAAAAAGTGAGAATAAAGTTATACCTAGGGTTTCTAAGGGAATGTTTTCTTTCACTGTCTCATAGACTCTATGACACAGAGGGTGACAAGGCACTGATTTATTTTGTACAATGTTAACTGTATTAGAACATAACCACACAGTACTTGTCAATCATATTAATAAGTAACAGCAATTTAAATTCTATAAGACGGCCAAAGGAAGCTTCCAGTTTTGTAAAGAAACAATTGCCATCTGTATCCTTTACAGTAACTGCCTTCTTGCATTCAAAAGCAAACGCTATGATGGGTTGTGATGAATTCACAATGTATTTTGAGTGTAGAAGGAGGCCATATGACTGTAGAGGAGTAAACTACATGGCTTCATTCAGTTTTCTATTATACAGAGGTCTGTGGAGTTGTTGGCCAGTTTTCTTGCCTGAACCTCTTGATCTTTCTTATTTTGGTTTCAACTTGCTGTGACCTGCAGCTGTGTTGTCTTTTTCCAAGAAAAATCTTCTATGTACTCTACATTCTCAAGGTCCAAATGTTTTTTCTTCTTTAGTTTTAACAATCAACTGCCTGTCTAAAAGAGCTGTAATAAGCTGCTCGCATTGCCTCCATTTTTGTATTTTTATTTCCTGTCCAACCAAGCCCTCAGCTGGTGTAAATCAGATCCATTGAGTTCAAAGGAACCTTAATGATTTGCAGCAGAGGATCTAGCCTCAATTTGTCAAGTGATAATCTTGCTTTGACTTTCCTAGTAACAACATCTGTTTTCTAGGAGGGTCTTGCCAAATTAGGGAAAACCAGGTTACTGACATCAGCCATAAATCTTTAAAAAATAGCTCAATCCACTGATAATGGCCATGTTCACAGGCTGAAACTAGTAATGAATTTATTTGCCAACTTTATGGGGAGAGGAAATATGTGGAACACTTCATCCTTTCCATAGCTCCTGACTGTCACCCAGACACACCAATCGTTTTGCATTCTCAGTGGCCATAAATTACGGAATGCCCAGCAATGAAGCAGCAGCACTATTTCCATTTTTAAGGGACAATGACAAAGTGTTTTAAACTTCAAGCAGTCACTGTACTGCCTGCTGGTAGGAAGGTAAAAATGGCTCTATGAGAACGGCAGGGTTATGAAGCCTTCCAGTTTCAGTTTCTTCAGACAGGAAGAAGGTGGGGAGAGAACTTCAGGAGATGAGGCACCAAGGGAAAGCCATATTATTAAGCTGATTTGCTTATTTTTCAATTTTCAGGATCCCAGTGACAGTTCTGTGGTGGAGTCCTATAACTAAAACAAGAATTCCACACTATGAGATGCCATAACTGAGGATCCTAACCACTTTTGTGTTGTTTCATCATTCATCTCACAGTACACAGTATCTATATTACTCATTAAGAAGTTAGCAGCCAGAATCTATTTGATACTGACAAATCAAGTGTGAACTTAAAGATAATATAATGGGCTGATCATCAAGCACACCCACTGCAAATGTGCCACACGAGAAGATCATTTAGACAGCAAACAGACCTTACATGTGTTTGAATATTTGTCATTCGCCCTCATTTTCTCTAATGGCTACACACTTGCATGTTTCAAATCATACGCTGCCACTGTCCGGTTTCCTTTATGTGACTGAACAGCTCCTATATGGATGGATTCTGTTCCCTCTTTATTTAAACTGCATGAACTCACACAACCAGCTTGGCACCAAAAAGGAGTCTGTCAGAGAACTACTGCTTACTGTAACAGGCAATCCCTAGTGGCTGCCATAAATCTGCTCTCAAATTTACTGCATCTTTACCTGGACAACCAATTTTGGACAGCAAATACTGTCATGTTCTGTAATTCCCTCCAATATAACCAGCCTTTGAATTATAGTAAACAATGTTATTATATTATTATATATTACTATATTTTACATATTACTGTTTTATGTTTATATATTTACCTGATGAAGAGTGTTTGTGCCCCAAAGCTTGCAATTAAAGAAAATTTTTTGCAAAAATCTTGTTAGTCTAATAAAAGATATCATCTCTACTATAAGTCCTGATTGCTTTTTCCTCTAGATCAAAACAGCTACAACCTGGATACCTGACACTAAAGAATGTTTGCCTTCCTCAATAGGCCAGCTCTTTGCTTAGTCATAAATAGGGGTCTACTGAATTCAAGGAGGCAGCTGTTCAATTTTGCAGGCAGCCCTCCCCACCCCCCACAAGACTGCAGGTCTTCCCATCCTTTTCTCTGCTTGCTGGTAAGATATATTTTTGTGGGGGGGTTGCAGTGAGCCTGCCAAAATCGAAGAGCCCACCATTTTTCAAGGAGCCTGCTCAATTTTCCATTTTCATGAAAATCACAGTCGCAAATTCAGTAGGTTCCTAATCATAAACAATAGTAAAGGTTTGAAATGCTACCATCTAGTGGCTGTCTATTGACATCGCTTTGCCCAATGGAGCTATCAGAAGCATAGCGCAAGGTTATCTTTGTCAGTTACTAAAGAGGTGAAAATCCTTCATAAAATCATGGGGCTTTTTAAAAAAAAGCCACGGGTTCAGTTCTTTAAGACATTTTGAGCACGTGGAAGCATACACATGCTCTCTAGATCAACTACAACTGGAAGGTGCATATGTGCACTCCTCCATGGGTACCTAGTATTGGTTCTCACAAATGCAACCTCCGTGGAACTGACAAGCAGCCAGAGTTGCTCTCATAGGGAGGGGAGAAAGGGAGGGATACATTGAATGAGCCCACTGGTGGCTTTGAACAAATGTTGAGATGAGATGGTCTGCTCTGTAATAGAGTTCCAGAGAATTACAAACATGCATTTGTCCTCTTGAATAGCTGGAAAGGGAGAAGTGAATCCCAAAGACACAAGTGCTTTCTTACAGACAGGTAATCCTACACAAGCGTCCTTCTTAAGGTGAAGGTTCATATAATTTAAGAGCATTAGATTTGAAAAAGTGAAAGAAAGGCACTGAAAATATTCAGGCTGGTACAGCATTTCAAAAAGCATTCAGATTAACTTGTCTGATCCCACTGAAGGCAACTGAAGAGAGATCCTGGAAATGCAGAAATGTAGGGAAATGGTTAAACAAGTGGTTCTCAACCAGGGTGACTTGAGATCCTTTCAAGGGTGCCACAGGGTGCCATGTAATGTTAGCACTGTTAGGTGTGCAAACATGATTCACAAGACAAAACCAGAGATTTCAAATAGAAATCCACAATGTTAAAAACATTCCGACCCATTACAGTCTTTCTGACTTCTCTGCGACAGAAGAATTGCTCTAGTATTTTTCTGCAGTGAAAAAACGAATGAAAACTAAGAGCTACCCCTTTTCCAAAGGGTACCTTGAGCCTATCGAAGTGTGCCATGAGCCAGAAAAGATTGGGAACCGCTGGGTTATACATATGGACAGATTAGATATCCAGAACTTGTTTGCTGTGTGATAGTAAGTTTGTTGGAGATAACAGCAACTATTAATAACGCTAATTTAAACACTGAATAGCTTTCATAATTGGATTTTAGCTAAAAAGTGTAGTGCTGCACAGTAAAAAAAAAAAAAAAAAAAGGCAGAAAAGTGAATAAAAATGGTTCAAGTTAGAACTACAGTAAATACCTATTTTTGCTATAATTCAAGAACACTTTGTTCAATTCACTGGAAACTTCCAGAAAAAACTAAACTCAATACTAGCTGTCGCCTGCCAATTTTGAGCATATGCTTTTTTGT